TATATATATATAATCTTTATGACAAGCATGGAGTTAGGTTGCTTTTATCTGTTCATTTATTTATTTGATTGAAAGCTGGTTAAAAAGAGCATTCCCAGAACATCATAACCTGAGGATTGTAGTGGAGTGAACCCCTCCAAAAACCTATAGGGAATATTTGAAGACCAATTCATTTTTACTGGTATCTTATTAAGAAAAATGGTTGTTTTCCTATGCAACAATTTAGGCAACTACTTGGAGTTTTGAATGTGATATTTGTTTACCTTTTTTTGTATAAGAGTTTTTATACATGGACACATCCTGATTCCGTATTACATCAATTTATATTCCTGTTCATAGCCTGGATCATTATACTAAGAAAACATCTACCTTTCTTGTGTATGTATTCAGAGGAATCAGTGAAACCCAAGAGCTCCTGGACCTCATTGTTAATGTACACATGAAAAGTTCTTGTGTAGACAAGCTCTTAAACTGATTACTCTGTTCTGACAAATCTTTGATGCATAGGAAAAGAAAAATATGTGAATACTACGCCAAGGTCATGGGAACTGAAGAAGCACTGCATGTAAGTATTTAATACTTTATTGGAATTAATAAAGAGATTCAGAAACTGACAATATTTGTCAGGTCTCAACTCTGCTCTATGGGGAAAAACGTATAGAGGGAAACATTCACACTAAACATTCTTTTTGGTGTGATTCACAGTTCTTTCGCAAGAAAATGTGATTGAATTTTTGAGTAAAAGAGTAATAGAAATTGGATAATAGTAATAGTAATTAGAGTAAAACACCACTGTTCAAATATGAAGAGTAGTCTTGCCTGGGGTATATAACAACCTGTTTTGAGTCAAAGCCATTCTTTCTCATCCTCTCAATTATGCTAAGACATTATTTACACTGACACTTAGGGGTCTATTAATAAACAATTTTTAGGGCCCTTCACCCTGTGACTAATTGTGAAGGTTTTATTGGGGGCAAATAATGTTAAAAATGAATGTTCTTGATACATGGTTTTTTTCCAGCTCACATGTATTGTCATGTAATACTACATTGTGGCCAGTAGATACTTATTTGTCTCACAGCCTCACAGGAGTAACTGGGGTTCTATTGCACATGTGTAGGAAGCGTAATGTAGACCTAGCATTTAGTGACAGTGCTGCTGATCTCCTCTAACCACCAGTGATCCCCGTGTATACCAGCAAATAGCTCCCAACACAGGAAGTCTCCCATCACTAATAACTTTGAATCTGTCTCCATGGTAGACCATGTAGCATATAGGAGCCACCAATAAATTATTATTTATGGAAGACTTTTTGTGCCGGGAGCTGATTGTTGATATCTGTGAAAGGTTATAGGACAGTGGTGGCGAACCTTGGCACTCCAGCTGTTTTGGAACTACAAGTCCCATGAGGCATTGCAAGACTCTGACAGCCACATTCATAACTCCCAGAGGCAGATGCATGTTGGGATTTGTAGTTTTGGCATAGCTGGAGTGCCAAGGTTCGCCACCACTGTTATAGGAGATCAGTAGCTCTGAGGGTGCAATACCTAGCACATGCACAGAAGGGACAGGTGAGTATTGACATTGTTTCTCTACTACACAAGCGTGGTAGCATCGACGTTTAAATGTAGACCAGTGCAATCCAAAACAGCCATACCCAGCAGAAAGCACATCCAGAGTGGTCCCTAGAACAGGTGAGTGTGTGTTGCAATGCAATATGACCTAATTTCCATCCCTGTCAGCTCACACTACCTACCTATCTCCACTCCACCCCAAACCACCCCCCCCCCCCCCCGTTTTCGTCCGCGCTTCCCCCGGCCCTCAAAACCCTTT